CCCCCCCCCCCCCCATTATATTAAGAACAAAGCACAAGCTGTGCATCCTGCCCCCGGGACCGTGGCTGCAGAATATTTGTGCCTCTGTCTCTTTCCTCTTCTTCGCTTGTAGCTTTCACTCTCTGCCCCTTCAGGAATCCCCCCTTCCATCCAGAACTGCATTCACTGAATCAGCCGAAGGTTTAATACCCTTCCCTTGCATTAATACGTATTCAGTAAACAAAATCCATAGAGCATTAAAATCATTCTCTCTCAGTCCTGTTTCTCAGCAAAATCCTATTTCATCTTAGCATTAACAGCTATACCCCAAATTTTTTTATACCATTTACGGAATGGTATAGTTTCTCCGTCCTGTTCTTTGCTGTTATAATTTTTGCTGATGTTGCTAAATTTATTATTAATATTTGATGGTCTATTTCGATTTCTATTTGTAAAATATTAACAACAATGAATTTTAGGACCTGCTTCAGTTTTAAAGTTCAATTTCTTGCTAGTCGTCTTAAAAACCCTTCTCCAAAATTTCTTCATATTTTCATAATTGCTCCACATAGGGAAATAGGTTTCCACTTTTTCTAACTGACATAAGCTTTCATATTTTCGCCTGTCTTTCATTGTAAAAGTGCCCAATCTTTGGGCTAAAATACATGAATTTTCATAACTATCATATATTAAAATGAATCGCAGGACAGTGGTCAACAATCTTGCAATCTGATTGGTTGATTCATGGAAGGTGGTGACCCATCAATCAAACCGTGATTTTGGAATAGCTACTCCTCTCACTAATTTCCGAGGTGCAGTTGCTTCATCTCCCCTTAATTGAACATTTTTTAGTGATGCGGAGCCACTTCAGCCTCACATGTCCAGCAGAGATGCACTGCAAAACCCTCATACCCTGGGGCTTTTCCTTTTAAAATTCTGAATCAGGGTTTCTGTTTCAGTTCTTGTGTAATTCAGATGCTGTTTTCGTTCCTCTGGAATTGGAATACATGATAATAGATTTATCTGCTTCCGCAAAGGCATTCAGACTTGGGTTTTCCTCCGGCCTCTTTCTGCCTCCATCGTGTTAGTTCAACCAAACATCGCTTGTTTCTAGGCTGGCTCCCTGTTTTGGGGCTCAGCATTTTCTGGTTCCCCCTCCCACGACTGCCCCCATCAGCTTCCTGGGAATACACTGTTTTGGGAGAGGGAGATGACTCCCCCTCCCCCTTCTCCACCCCTCGCTCTACCCCGGGGGTCCCCCTCCTCTTCCCTATCCCTCTCTACTCTTCCTCTTCCCTCCCCACTCTCCTCAAGCCGCTCACACCTCCCCCTCCTCTCCTCCAGTCCAGCCCGCGGTCACCATCTCCCCCACCAAGGACGACCCCCTCTCCCCCCGCACCCTGCTGCTCTGCACTGCGGCCAGCTTCTACCCCCGGGAGATCGAGGTCCGCTGGCTGAAGAACGGGCGACGGGCGACGGAGGGGGTCTTCTACGGGGAGGAGCTGCACAATGGGGACTGGACGTACCAGACCCAGGTGATGCTGGAGGACACCCCCCAGCGCAGAGACGTCTACGCCTGCCAGGTGGAGCACGCCAGCCTGGAGACGCCCATCACCGTGCAGTGGGGTACGGCCCTCCTCCCCTTCCCTCTGTGGGGCGCTCCTGGGCACTGGGTGGTTCTGTGGGTGGATTGGGGGAAGGAAAGTAGGGGCCTAAGGTGGGTGGGGGAAGGGTGGCCTCTTTGAAGGGAGCAGCAGTGATGTGGGTGGCTGAAAGTCTCTCCCCAGGAAGCGATGTTGGCAGCCCCACTTCCCCCTTTTTGTTCCCTCTGGAGCTGCGTCCAGCCCCCCACTTCCCCCCTCACAGTACTCCCGTCTGGGGCTGCCCTCCCCATGAGGGACTGAAGCGCAGCCATGCAGACCTCGCAGACTGAGCCAGCACCCTAGATATCAGCTGTGGGCCCGGAAATTCCCCATCCCCCTCTGCTGCGCATGGACTTGGCCCCCGGTCAGTCCCTGGGGATGAGAGGCCCAGCCTGGCCCCGATCCTGCTCCCATGTGAGACCCCCCTTCTCTTTCCCCAGAGCCACGGACTTCTGAGTCGGCCAGGAGCAAAGTGTGGACGGGGGTCGTGGGGGCCCTGCTGGGCGTGGTCTACCTGGCCGTGGGGCTCTCCCTCTACCTGAGGAGCAAGAAAGGTAAGGGGGAATTGGAGGGTCATTTAGGACTTGGGGGGGTAGGTCCAGGGGAAGAGAAGTGTTTCCAGCCCCCTCAGAGATGCCGGGATTCAGTGCTGTCCCTTTCTATGGAAGCGGGGCTCCTACACCAGTTCTTTTGGGTATCGAGGGACACAGGATGGGGGTCCCCACTGTAGACCAGACTGTTACCCTGTAGACCAGGAGGCCTCCGTGAGGGGCTTGGCTTAAATCTTCCCTCCAAATCACTGGCCGTCTCAGTGCAGCAGCTTTCCTGGGAAGGCAGTTTGTCTTTTGCAAAAATGGGAGATTTTTCTGAGCCATGGAAAGGCTTCTTCAGATTTTGCTTTGAGTAGCCATTCTGGGTGCAGGAGGGGAGGGTGTTGCTTTGGTGCTCGGGAATCAGCCCCTCCCTCCATGCATTACACTCTCTCTCTCTCTCTCTCTCTCTCTCTCTCACCATCCAGCGTCTCCTGTCCAGCCACCTGCAGGTACGGCCCCTCCCCACCTCCTCCCACATCACTGGTCCCCTTTTCCATCCTGCCTCTCCTGAGATCCTTGTGCAGAGTGGGGGACCCTTGTCAGAAGGGGCCCCCAGGTGTCTTGGGGCTCTTCTTGCACCTTTGCAGGGACATGTCTGGCTCTGGGGGGCGGGGCTGCAGTTGGGGGTAGGGTTGGAAAGAGTGTCCCACCCTCCGAACTGGGCCTCAGTGGACAGGCTTAATCCTGCCCAGAGGCTCTTCCTGAGCCTCCCTCTGGGGTCTCTCTGGGGAATAGGGCGGCTTTGGGGGGCAGGAGAAGTTCCCTGGGAGGGGCGTGAGTGGGCAGCATCCCCTCCTCTGGCTGCATTCGCAGGCCGTGCTGGAGGGCCATCAATCTAGGGGAGGCCTGAGGGGCTGCAAAGGGAGGGGGCTGGGTGCAAACTTCCCCAACAAGTCAGCCTTCCCACCCTCTTTCCTTCCTGCATGTTCCAAGGCTGCATTTTCATTCCCAATTTTTTTGTTCCTTCTGCAACTTCCCTGTCTCCTTTTCCTACACTTCCCTGCAGCACTTATCGGCTAGTCCACCAGGGCACAGGTGGAGAGGAAGACACTTCCATTCTTCCTGCTGGAGCTCAGCTTTTCGATTCTGTCCTTGCGGGACGCGAAGGTGAAGGGGCTGGAAGCTGCGGATTGGCACGAGGAGGAGAACCGCAGCTGAAGCTGCTCCTGCAAAGACCACCTGGCTTTCCCTGATTTCCTGCCTGCTTTTGCTTGGGTGGGTGGGGGGTGAAGGGGTGGGACTCATCCTGCCAGGCGCCCAGAACACGCCTGCCCATCTTCTCTGGATTTCGCCTCAAGAGCCAGAATTTTTGGCTTGGTTGGTATTCATCCTGTGGAGTCCCATGTTCCTGATCAAGGGTAAGAGAGGCCATGTTCCCTTCCTCACCCGCTGGACCCAACAGGTGCCCTCTGAAGGGGCAGCACTGAGTCACTCCTGGCCAGCTTCCGCTTCACCCGGAGCTGCTGCAATTCCAGGGCTTGGAATCCTGAAAGCTTCGCTCGCACTTGCAGGCTGACTTCGCACCAATAAATTCTGTTCTTGCCTGAATGAAGAATGATCAGAAAAGTAGTTTGATGACTTGAACAATGGAAGGATGTTCTGTTCAGAGGGGGGCTGTAGCACGGCGGTAGAGCCCCTGCTGGGCATGCCGAAAGTCCCGCCCAGCCTGGGGCCATTGGAGTGGCTGCCCGTCAGTGCCGCAGGTGGGGTGCATGGAGTGGGGTCTGGCGCTGTCCAAAGGCCGCTCTCCTTGCCTTTTGCCGTCCTCCCCACTGGGCCCTGCCCCACTGCATCTGGGAGTCCCACACGTCCCCTGGGGAAATTGGGGTGGCAAGTGAATCCCTTCCTGGAGGGGATGAAGCTGTGAGGCCTCCCTTGCCCCGTACCCTCCTCTGCAGCTGAGCTGTGCTGCAGCGTTCCTGTTGGTAGGGCACTGGGGGTAGTAAGATCATCCAGTCTGCCCTGAATTGTCCTCAGCCCCACTCTGCTGGACCGATGGGGAGACACTGCTGGCTGCTGAGTGGCTGATTGGCCTGTTTTGCAGGGGGAACCGGAGCTGAACTCTGGCAGGGACGTCTTGTTCGATTGTCCCACCTGGGGTCATTGCCAGAGTCCCCCCAACTCCCTCGGGGGGCGTGGGGCCCTGAGAAAGTGCACTGGACGAATGGCGTAGGCACATGCTGTGGGTCATGGGACCAATCCTGGACGTTTGGGACTGGTAGTGTCTCCCCGGAAACATTTCATTCTTTCCAAATGGATTCGTCGCCGTGTGACACGTGAATGGCCCCTGGGGGCACCAGAGTGGGATTGGGCGGTCCTGGCAACCAGGAGCTCCCCCCTGAGGGGGGCACAACTCGGAATTGGACGAACAAAATTATGCGGGGTGTGACCTCAGAATGGCAGCAAAGCACCGAAATCTTCACAGGCAGAAGTGAGGGTGGCTGAGGGTTAGAGGCTGTGGATGCTGAGGGGAGACGGGGGATGGGTGCAGTGGGGCCGGGCAGGGGGCACCAAGCCCACAGACACCCCAGGCGGGGAAAGGGCGGCTGCTGTGCTGCAGCTATTCTTGCCCCAAGGGCGGATCCGCTTGGCCCCCTGGGTGCTTGCCTGAAGGGATCACAGCCCCTCAGCACAGCCCCTCCCACAGTGAACAGGCTGCATGGGGACCCTCACCAGCAATACTGGCACTTCCGCCCCACGGAGAGGCTGCGCAAGGGAGTGGGGCAGGGAAGGGCAGTCGGTCAAGGGCTCTCTGCAAGGGCCCGCAGGGGACTCACGCAGAGGGACCCACTGCACATGTGTCCCCTGGAGCCAGGCCTCTCGGTCCTCTTCATGCTCCTGCTGCTCAGGCTGGACTGGGCTCTGCCTGGGCACGGCACCCCGAGCCCATCTCCCCTCTGCGCCTCAGCCAGGACCCGCACAGACGCAGCGAGAGGGCCGGAGCCGGCCCTAGGGGACCGAGGGGGGGGTGAGCAGGCTGACGCCACCCTGGACGACGTGTTGCAAAGCGCCCCTCCAGCCACGGTGCAGAGCTCCTCCTCCTGGCAGGAATGCTCTCCTTCTGGGAGGGGTCCCTCCCTGGCAGGATGGGTCCCTCAGCTGTGCTGTTTCTCTGCTCAGAGCACGGACACTTCATGCCACTCCTGCTTGCTCAAAGCAGCAGGGCAACTCATCCTGGGCACTCTGTACATGCTCCGGGGTGCATTCAAAACCTTTGGGAGGGCACAATGACTGGTTTCCTTCTCTCCATCATGGGGGTTGCGTCCCTCAGCCTGGGGGCTCAGGAGCTGGCCTGGGAGGCTGAAGGCGAGATCAGCAGGGTGCCTTCGTGGTTCCCCCTTTGACCTGGATCTTGCAGGTGCTTTGCTGGCCGTTGCTTCCTGCAGATCAGAGCCTGCGAGATCAGGGCAAGCCATCCTGGATCTTGCACATCATCTCCTTGGAACAGCCAGGAAGGTACTTGGGAACCCGCGGCAAGCAGGCTGGGCACCGAACTGAGCGCATGTGTCCTTCACTTGGTGGGAGAATGAGAGAAGGAGCTCCCCAGAAACCCCTTAGATATCTGCTCTGAGTGGGACAAGGGGGTTGGTAAAGAAGCTTTCCAAGACAGACTTGTTCTTAGGGACGAGCAGCCTGGATAAAGAAGGTCATGAAATGTCTCAAGTGCTTGCCACTACAAGGAGCTTCCTCGAGAACCAGGAGGTGGACTGAGTGCCCCTGTCAGAAATTAATGCAAGGGGTCACCCATGTAGTCTATAAATATAAGATTCAAAAAGAGAGGCCGTGGTTTTAGCTTTGGGTAGTCCTGTAAAAGGAATAACGTGAGCCATTTTGGTGAATAAGTCTGTGACGACCAATATGCTGATGAAGCTCCTAGAGGGGGGCAAATCCGTGATGAAATCCAGGGAAACTGTGTGCCAGGGGCCAGGAGGGGTACCCAGAGGTTGTAGCAACCCTGAGGGTCTGCCAGGCAGGCGTTTGGCCCATTGGCAAGTTTGGGGCATGAGAGAATGTAAGTCTTGAAATTGTGCACATGCAAGGCCACCAAAAGTCCCTGCTTACCGCATGCAAAGTCTTACAAACCCCGAAATGTCCTGCAGAGTGGGAATCATGGCATTGTTGCAATACTTGTTCTCTAAGCGGCAATGGAAAGTATGCAGCTTGGTTATATAACAATAAACCATTGTAAACAGAAGGCAGAGTACCTGCCTCCCTTACCATATGCGGAAACGAAAACTTGCGAAGAACAATGCCCAACGTGCTTGTCTTTGGTTGAGGATCTTAGCAGAGGGAAAATGGACGAAGTTCATTTGAATGAAGTCAGTTTGAATGAGGACGGGTGAGAGGCCCTTCCAACAATTGTCTCCATTCTTCCACGGCCGCTTTTATTGCCAACAGTTCCTACTCCCAAATAGTGTAGTTCTGAACTTGTGAGTTTGTTGGAGTAAAATGCCACAGTCCTGAGGTTGCTGCTGGTCCCCTCTTCCTTGTTGCAAAAGAACTGCCCCTATCGCTCTGTCAGAAGCGTCGGTTTGTAGCACAAAAGGAACAGACATATCGGGGTGGATTAGATTGTTTCCTGAAGCAAAATGGCGTTTTGAGGCGGCAAAAGCCTCTGCTGCCTCAGGAGACCAGTTCAATCGCCGTCTCTTCTCTTTCAAAAGGTCAGTCAAAGGGGCTGTCAAACGAGAGACGTGAGCTATACATTGGCAACAGAAGTTAGCAAAACCCCAAAATTTTGCAGCTCAGTTTTCGTGAGAGGCGGTTGCCATGACAGTACAGTATGCACTTTCTCAGGATCCATCTGTAACCCATTCTGAGACATTCGATACCCGAGATACATCAGGGAAGTGGTGTGAAATTCACATTTTTGCAGCTTAGCAGAGTCAGCCAAAGTTTTAATACTCTTCCCTAACATTAGTTCGAATTCAATAAACAAAATCCATAGACAATTTAAATGATTCTTTCTCAGGCCTTTTTCACCCTAATCCCACATCACTTCGCATTAACAGCTATATTCCAAATTTCTTTATACCATTCAATGAAGATCCCATGTCTCCTACCTATTCTTTGCTATTATTATTTTTGCTGATGATTCCAAATTTATTATTAGTTTTTTATAGTTCCTTTCCATTTCTTTTTGTAAAAAATTAACAATAATGCTTTTTAGGATCTGCTTCAGTTTTAAAGTTCAATTTCTGGCTAAGCTTCTTAAAAACCAGCCTCCAAAATTTCTTAATAATTTCACAGTTCCTCCACATCGGGAAATAGGTGCCCATTTTTTTTCCCATTTTTCTCCAGCATAGACTCAGATATGATTATTCATGTACAATCCTCAATCTAATTGACATACTGTTTCATATTTCTTCTCCTAGAATTTTCATTATTAAAGTGCCTGAATTTATGGCTAAAAAAGATGAGTTTCCTATACCGTCACTTATTCAAATGAATCATATGACAGTTGACAACAATCTTGCAAGCTGATTGGTCGATAAATGGAAGGCGGTGCCCCATCAATCAAATGCTAGGTTCGGAATAGCTAATCCTCTCACTAATTTCCGAGATTCAGGTGCTTCATCTCCCCTGAACTGAACATTTTTTAGTGATGCAGTACCACTTCAGCCTCACATGTCCTACAGAAATGAGCTGTAAAACCCTCAAACCTGGGGCATTTCCTTTTCAAATTTTGAATTAGGTTTTCTATTTAAGTTCTTGTGGGATTGAGATGCTGTTTTTATTCCTCTGGAATTGGAATAATTCATAATTTCATCTGCTTCCTCAGTGTTAACTCTTTTCCATGTTAGTTCATCCATGCTGGCTTGACTCACATGTCAGTGTTACCTGTGGGATGTGTGGAGCGCAGGACCTGGCCACGCTGCCGCACGGAGCAAAGTGTAGATGGGTGTTGTGGAGGGCCTGCTGGGTGTGATATTTTTGGCTGTGTGGCTCTCTGTCTACTTGAGGAGCAGAAAAGGTAAGGGGGCACTGGGGTGCAGCTTAGGAACTTGGGGGGCAGGCCCAGGGAAAGAGAAGCATGTCCAGCTGCAAGGACTTTGCCTCCTGCCTCACCCTCGCCCCGAGACCATCTCCAAGCGGACGGGCCTGCCATCCTTGCCACCGATCGCCACTGCAGCTGTGGTGTGTTGGGCAGGACAGGCAGGAGATGACTGAGGCAGGCCACACTGGAGCCCTCTCCTTGCTGGGTAGTGGCCAGAAGGAGAGGGCCTAAGTGCATCATCATTTGGGGCCATTCAGGGCTGGGCTGGGTGAGGGGCTCTGGTCATTTTTTTTGGTGGTCTTGTGCGACGGTGTTTCATGATCCGGTTTTAATTCAGGGTGGATTTACCTGAGGAGCATGCAGGTGCCGCCACTGGGGTGGAGATGGGCAGGGGAAGGTATGGTGCTGGGGATCTAACAGACCAGTATAGGAGAGGGAGGGTCCAATGTTTGATATTAATTCCCTCTTCTGCTTTTTCTCTAACCCAGCAGGTTCCTGGTAGAAATATCTTCCATCCTTCAGGCCTGATGGTGTTGCTGTAAAAGGCCAGGTTGGTCAATAATAAACA